ACTTGATTGGAATCCTTGCGAGCGACGTACATCGTATCCGCAGCTGCCACCACTTGATTGGAATCCTTGCGAGCGACGTACATCGTATCCCCGTCAAACACCCCTTGGAGGTTGCCGTGCTTGTTAATCTGCGGCACCAAGAGCGGTTTTTAGCTCATACTGGGCACATAGAGGCGCGTTCTTGACTCTCGATCTCGCGCTCTTACCCGTTTGGCAGGATCACCTTTTCCACGGTGGTCCCCACACCTTTGATGGCCGCCTTGTTGCCATCAGCCACCAGGATCTCGCCATCATTGCCTTCGGGCGTAGCTTACAAACTTGAACTTGTCGTGGCAGATGTGATGTGTTGCCCCCGCTGTCAACGGCCCACATTCCTGGTCCATTCTTGTTCGTCGAAACTCCGCATTCGAACGAAACTGCAAACGCCACTCGATCGTAGCTGTTGCCTTCATCATAATGTCGCCACTGGACATTGTTTGCCCCGCGTCCACGACCATTGCCGCGGCGTTGGTGGCTCCTCGACTTTCATCCTTTTGCTTCGTCCAGCAACGCTCTGCCGTGTGCCCCACCTTGCCGCAGTATGTGCATTGGTAGGGCTTGCGCTCGGTACTGAATGCCTTTGTCGCATCTTCAGTCTTCACCGTTGTCGTTGCCGTTGTCATCTTCTTGCCTTGTCGCTGATGTGCTCGTTAGTCAGCACCTTGACCACATCTTGCGTGCGCAGCTCTGCATTACTCCATCTCCCAAGTTCAGAACCACGTTCTCGAAACTCTTCGGGAGACTGAGCAGCAAGCAGATCGCAATGTCTTCGTCTTCCATCTTGGCACCGATGCTGCTGAGCTTGGCGCCGATGTTCAAGACTTCGTTGCAATGGTGCAAGACGTTGGCACCTTCCGCCATCTTGATGCTGAACAGCTGGCGCTTGAGGTAGATGCGTCCCGCCTTCTGCGACCCACCATAGAGCATCTTCAACCGCGACCACGCTGTCCATGCTTCTTCACAGTTGTCGACCACATGGTGGTAGTCGGCGTCCATGTGGAGCAACATCAACCCGAACGCGATGTTGCTCGCCTTGACGTACTCGTCGGAAGCTCGCGTGTCGGTGAAGGTTGGAGACGTTTCGCGGTTCACGACGTACCAGACTGACTTCGTCAGAAACACGCCGCGCATGTAGCGACACCAGGTTGAGTAGTTGTCCCCATCGAACTTATCGATGGAGACACTGGCCGAGGTGTTGTTGGACGACATGGCGCTTGGGCTCATAACCTGTTGCAACTTGAGCGCGAGGCGAAGAGAAAACGAAGCGGAGAGACCGGAGAGAACGAAGCAGAGAACACTTGCTCACTTGAGGGGAGGATTCGAAAGTGATTGATTTATAGGTCTTAACTTCTGCCTACCCTAGACTGCATCCAATCACATGGTGCATCTGATCAACCTGATTTACACGCGTCCAATCATCCTACGCGTCTAATCATCTCTGAGGTAATTACCGATGTAAAAACTATCTCGTAAGAACTAGGCGCTAGGTTCGGATTGTACCGGTAACCCTCAATACTCCAATGCTTGCTTGGAGTCTTTGTGCGAAATCTTCATCTCACTCTTATCAAACACCACTCAGAACTTGCCGCTTTTGTTAATCTGGGGTATCGACAGTAGGTTCTTGTTCATGCTTGGGACATTAAGTGCATCCTCGATTTCAACTTCGCGCTCTTCACCGTTTGGTAGGACCACCTTTTCGACGATAGTCCCAACTCTATTGATCGCAGCCTTGTTTCCGTCTGCAACCAGCACATCACCTTCATTGCGCTCGTCCAGAACTTCAAACTTGGACTTTTCATTGAAGATGTGGTGCGTTGCTGCTGTAAATCGCCCACATTTCCACCATGGTCTTGGCTGTCGAAAGCTCGCATTCCAGCGAAACAGCAAACGCCACTCGATCATGGTCTTAGTTGTTGCCGTTGCCGTTGTAGCCGTGCCATTGGACTTGATTCGCTCCGCGTCCACGAGCCCAATGGCACGGCCCTTGTTGCCGCTGCGTCGATCTCCTCAGTCGTCTTCCCTCTGTTTGGTCCAGCACTTTATCACCACGTGCCCCAATTTTCCGCAGAACGTACATTGACGGAATTCACGCTCGGTGCTGAAGGCCTTGGTCGCTTCTTCAGTCTTCACCAATGTCGTCGTGTTTCGTTGTCTCTTGATGTGCTCATTCGTAAGCACTCTCACGACGTCTTGCGACCGCAGTTCTGCGCTGCTCGTCTCCAAGTTGAGAGCAACGTTCTTATAGCTCTTGGGGAGACTGCACAACAAGCAGATCTCCATGTCCTCATCCTCCATCTTGGCGCCGATACTGCTGAGCTTGGCGCTGGTGTTGAAAACGTTAGTTGCAATGATGCTATGAAATTGCCGCCTTCCTCCATCTCCATGCTGAACAGCTGTGTTGTAACTTGCGCGAGGCGAAGAGAAAACGAAGCGGAGAGACCGGAGAGAACGAAGCAGAGAACACTTGCTCACTTGAGGGGAGGATTCGAAAGTGATTGATTTATAGGTCTTAACTTCTGCCTACCCTAGACTGCATCCAATCACATGGTGCATCTGATCAACCTGATTTACACGCGTCCAATCATCCTACGCGTCTAATCATCTCTGAGGTAATTACCGATGTAAAAACTATCTCGTAAGAACTAGGCGCTAGGTTCGGATTGTACCGGTAACCCTCAATACTCCAATGCTTGCTTGGAGTCTTTGTGCGAAATCTTCATCTCACTCTTATCAAACACCACTCAGAACTTGCCGCTTTTGTTAATCTGGGGGTATCGACAGTAGGTTCTTGTTCATGCTTGAGACATTAAGTGCATCCTCAATTTCAACTTCGCGCTCTTCACCGTTTGGTAGGACCACCTTTTCGACGATAGTCCCAACTCTATTGATCGCAGCCTTGTTTTCGTCTGCAACCAGCACATCACCTTCATTGCGCTCGTCCAGAACTTCAAACTTGGACTTTTCATTGAAGATGTGGTGCGTTGCTGCTGTAAATCGCCCACATTTCCACCATGGTCTTGGCTGTCGAAAGCTCGCATTCCAGCGAAACAGCAAACGCCACTCGATCATGGTCTTAGTTGTTGCCGTTGCCGTTGTAGCCGTGCCATTGGACTTGATTCGCTCCGCGTCCACGAGCCTAATGGCACGGCCCTTGTTGCCGCTGCGTCGATCTCCTCGGTCGTCTTCCCTCTGTTTGGTCCAGCACTTTATCACCACGTGCCCCAATTTTCCGCAGAACGTACATTGACGGAATTCACGCTCGGTGCTGAAGGCCTTGGTCGCTTCTTCAGTCTTCACCAATGTCGTCGTGTTTCGTTGTCTCTTGATGTGCTCATTCGTAAGCACTCTCACGACGTCTTGCGACCGCAGTTCTGCGCTGCTCGTCTCAAGTTGAGAGCAACGTTCTCATAGCTCTTGGGGAGACTGCACAACAAGCAGATCTCCATGTCCTCATCCTCCATCTTGGCGCCGATACTGCTGAGCTTGGCGCTGGTGTTGAAAACGTTGTTGCAATGATGCATGAAATTGCCGCCTTCCTCCATCTCCATGCTGAACAGCTGTGTTGTAACTTGAGCGCGAGGCGAAGAGAAAACGAAGCGGAGAGACCGGAGAGAACGAAGCAGAGAACACTTGCTCACTTGAGGGAGGATTCGAAAGTGATTGATTTATAGGTCTTAACTTCTGCCTACCCTAGACTGCATCCAATCACATGGTGCATCTGATCAACCTGATTTACACGCGTCCAATCATCCTACGCGTCTAATCATCTCTGAGGTAATTACCGATGTAAAAACTATCTCGTAAGAACTACGCGCTAGGTTCGGATTGTACCGGTAAACCTCAGTACGCCCCCTCAATCCGAACACGCACGGATGCCAAGCGCCGTCGTCAAGTCCTTGTGACGCGGTCCGTGAAGTCCCTTCGTCATGATGTCCGCCAACATCAACGTCGTCTCGCAGTATTCAAGCTTCACTTCGCCGCGCTTGACTTCATCACGGATGTGATGGTACTTGATGTCGATGTGTTTAGCGCGGCCGTGGTTGACCGGATTCTTCGTCATCTTGATGCACGACTGGTTGTCTTCACGGATGACGAGCTCGGGTGCTTCTTCGTTTGCAGCCGCCATGATCTCGCACAGCAAGCGATTGATCCACTTGCCTTCTTGGATCGCCAGGCTGAGCGCGATGTACTCCGCTTCGCTTGTAGACAGTGACACACTTGGCTGTTTCTTGCTGCCCCAACTCACCGGAGCACCCAATAGCATGAAGACGTAGCCGGACGTCGATTTGCGATCAGCAAGGTCACCGGCCCAGTCTGCATCTGAATAGCCACGAAAGTCGATCTTCGCACTTGGCTTGTAGCAGATTCCATGCATCTTGGTGCCTTGTAGGTATCGGAAGATGCGCTTGACTGCAACCCAGTGTTCTTCTTGGGGTTTCTCCATGAACCGTGACACAAAGCTTACAGCATAGGCGATGTCCGGTCGCGTTGCAGTCGTCAGATGCATCAAATCACCCACTGCTTCACGGAATGGGACATCCACCTTGCTTGCAGAGTTGCTCGGAACCAGTCGAGAGCTGACGTCCACCGGACTTGCCACAGCCTTGCACTCATCCATTCCAAAGCGCTTGAGGACATCGTCGACATAACGGCGCTGACACATAGTCACGCTGCCATCTTCACCGTCCAATAACTCGATCCCAAGAACAAAGGCACACTTGCCGCTGTCCGTCATCTCGAAGCGTGTCTTGAGGTCGTTCTTGGTGCGCGCAATCATCTCGAGCGAGCTTCCGGTCACCAAGACATCGTCCACGTAGACCAGCACAAACACACAATGGCCTTCCGAAGTCATGATGTAGAGACATGGATCGAATCCCGACGCTTGAAAACCAATCGAGCGTATGAACTCGTCGAAGGTCTCGGTCCAAACACGCGAGGCTTGCTTGAGACCGTAGATCGCCTTGATCAGCTCGGAGACAGTCGAAATCACCTTCCATCTTGACGCCTTCCGGAACAGCGCAGAACATCTTCTCCTTCATCACTCCATACAGGAACGCAGTCACCACATCGAGCTGGTCGAGGGGCCATCCAAAGTGCTTGGTAATGGCGATGACCATTCGCAGCGTCACATACTTGACCACGGGCGAGAACGTCTCCGTGTAGTCGATGCCATACTTTTGGCGAAAACCCTTGGCCACAAGTCGTGCCTTGTATTTCTCGATCGACCCATCCGCCTTGCGCTTGATCTTGAAGACCCACTTTGTGCCGATGGCGCTTTGTCCGTTGGGTAACTTGGCCGCACGAAAGACACCGCGAAGCTTCATCGAATCGAGCTCCGCATCAATTGCCTTGCGCCAGTGTACTTGGTCCGGGCCAGACACTGCTTCTTCAAATGCCGACGGCTCCGAAAAATCGACCGCTGCTTCGACGGCGTTTGCACTCGCGTGCCAAAACGCGGAGGAAGTCGGTGTGTCATGTTGTTCCTCCGACTTCCTTTCTTCATCTTCGTTGGCTCGACGTGAAGAGAGGTCATCCGGCGCACTTGACTCTTCCAATCCGGGTCGTTGGCGCACTGCTCGGGGCATGCTTGCGTCGTCATTGTCGTGACTGGGTTGGGCCTTGCGCTTTCCTGTTTGTTTGAAGTGTCTCGGACGCGGTTCTTCATCATCAAGATCGATCGATTCGAAGTCCAGGCCATCAACATCGTCATCGGAAATCAGCATCAACAGTCCAAAGGCCGACTCATCGAAGTTGACATCGCGACTTATCATCACCTGCCCCGCTTCGATGTCGTAAACTCGATACGCCTTGGACACTTCTTCGTAGCCCAAAAACAATCCAGCCCGGGCCTTGGGATCCCACTTGAGTCGTTTCTCCTTCGGGGTCAAGACGTATGCTTGGTGATGAACTTTAGACTTCTTGGTCCGAGTGCAAAACGCAAAGTGAATATATATTTATAATAGGTACTTAGTTCGCAACTTTGAATACTACCTCTAAGCCTATTATTCGCAGTGACGTCATCCAGTGACGTCACCCACTGACGTCACCCACTGACGTCATGCAATGACGTCATCCAGTGACGTCATTTCCTGACTTCGCCCTTACTGGTACATACCGGTACCCACCGGTATAGCGAAGCTTGGTCTTCCACTTGCTTCAACACTTGACGCAGCTTGACGAGGTGTCTTCTTCACAGCCGCTGTCTTTTCAACACTCCCTCTCGACTCGTTAGCTGCGGCACCTTGGATCCCAAGTCGATCGCGAATGTTTTCAAATTGTACAGCGGCGATCGGCTTGGTCATCATGTCTGCCAGCATATCTTGAGTCGGGCAATACTCCAAAACGACTTCACCTGATTCCACCTTCTCACGCACAAAATGGTAGCGTATGTCGATGTGTTTTGTTCTCTTATGGAACTCCGGGTTCTTGGCGAGAGCGATTGATCCTTGGTTGTCTTCATACATCTTGATCGCTTCGTCGCTTGTCATCTCACCAAGTTCCCCCAAAAGCACCTTGAGCCATACTGCTTCTTTGGTTGCTTCGGAAAGCGCCATGTATTCTGCTTCTGTTGAAGATAGCGCGACCGTCCGTTGTTTCTGGCTTTTCCAGCTGATGCATCCTCCGCTCATCATGAACACATAGCCGCTTGTACTTCGTCTTGACTCAATGTCGCCGGCCCAGTCTGCGTCGGTGTACCCGCAGATACGGCTTCCTTCTTCACGTGTAAACTCAAGACCATGATTGGGCGTTGCTTGCAGGTATCTCAGCACACGCTTCAAAGCTTGCCAGTGAGTCGGGCATGGGTCGGACGAGAACTGGGATAATGATCCCACTGCAGCAGCTAGATCCGGACGTGTGGCGACCATGAGATACATGATGCCTCCGACAGCACTTCGATATGGCACGTTGCACATGGTGTCTTCGTGCTTGCATTCTTGTTCACACATGTTCTTGGTTAGCTTCAGGCCGGGATCTTGAGGCGTCTTCACTGGCTTGCTGTTATCCATTCCGAACTTGGTTAACACGGACTTGAGAAACTTGGTTTGTTGTACAGTCACCATTCCCGTCTTACGGTCGTTCTTGATCTCCATGCCGAGAAAGTAATCGAGCTCACCGAGATCCGTCATTTCGAAGCGTTTGCTCAGCGCCATCTTGGTCGACTTGAGGAGTTCGTTGTTGCTGCTGGCCAGGATGAGATCATCGACGTAGAGCACCACGAGAATCATGTCTTGGTCGTCTCGCTTGATGTAGATGCAGTGGTCCGATTCGCACTTCTTGAATCCCATCTTGATCATGAACCCATCGATTGTTTGGTTCCACATGCGAGGCGATTGCTTCAAGCCGTAGAGTGATCTCTTTAGCTTGCACACATAGTCCGGCTGTGTTGCATCCAGGTATCCGTCCGGCTGGTCCATGTAGATGTCTTCGTTGAGGGAGCCGTTAAGAAACGCTGTCTTGACGTCCATCTGATGTAGCATTAGGCCGTACTTAGCCGCCATACTGAGCACCACACGAATCGATGTGAACTTGGCCACCGGTGCGAAAGTTTCTTCATAGTCAACTCCGAATTTCTGTGAGAATCCTTTGGCCACAAGTCTTGCCTTGAAACGTTCAACTTCGCCATCTTGATTCTCCTTTACACGAAAAACCCATCGGCACCCGATGGCCTTGCGACCTTTCGGAAGAGGCACGATTTCCCACGTGTCGTTTCTCTGAAGCGAATCGAGCTCCGAGTCACACGCTTCTTTCCACTTGCCGGAGTCGCTTGATTCCATCGCCGACTTGAATGTAGTCGGCGTTTCCCCCACTGAATCAACGATGTAGGCTGCTTCAAAATCCATTGCAGCCGCTGACACATGCTCAAGCGACGGACCTCTGTATGTTCTTCGCTTGGGACTTGGAATGACGGTAGCTTTCTCAAGTGATTGAGTGCGCGTGTGTCTCTTGATGTTGCTCTTCGAAGACCTGGTGTCTTCGTTGTCATCGTCGCTCGAGTCCATGTCGTCGTCAGTTTTACCTTCTTCTTTTTCTTCGTCCTCATCATGATCATCAAACTCAACGACACTTGACTCATCGTTGTAGTTGCGCGGACCTTCATCAAACTTGTCTTCCATGAATGTGGCATCGCGACTGATCTTGATCGCTCCTGTTGACACTTCCTCAAATCGATATGACTTCTGGTGTTCGGCGTATCCCAGGAAACGACAGAGTGATGACTTGGAGTCGAACTTCGCGCGTTTGTCTTGAGGCACTTGAACATACGCGTGGCATCCAAACACTTTAAGGTTGGCCAGAATCGGTTTCTTCATCGTCCACACTTGATATGGAGACTTGTCTTGGTGAATGGCACGTGTTGGACAGCGGTTTCGAAGAAACATCGCCGTCATCACTGCTTCACCCCAGTAGCTCTTTCCCAGTCCAGCGTGTTCCATCATGCAACGCGCACACTCGACCAGCGTGCGATTCATTCTCTCAGCTACTCCGTTTAGCTGAGGAGTATATGGGGGGGGTGAACCTTTGTTGTATTCCCCGTTCCGCGCAGAATCGTGCCAGCTTGTCGGACTTGTATTCACCCCCATTGTCGCTTTGAAGGTACTTCACGCGCTTTCCGGTTTGCGTTTCGGCCATCGCAGCGTATTCCATGAACTTCGCCGCAACTTCAGATTTGCTCTTGAGCAGATAGACGACACAGTATCTTGACTTGTCATCGATGAATGTCACGAAGTACCGTTTTCCACTGAAAGTTGCCATCGACATCGGTCCGCATACGTCGCTGTGAATCACTTCGAGGAGTTTGGAGGTGCGAGCTGTAGTGTTTGATTGGAAGCGCACTCGAGTCTGTTTTCCCAGAGCACAACCTTCACACACGTCCCACTTCTTCACCGAAGATATGTCGATGCCAATTCCATGTTCTTCGTCACGATGCAATTGAGTCCATCGTGACCTATGTGGCCAAGCCGAAGGTGCCAGAGGTACGACTTGGTGCCCCCTTGACATCCCGACGACTTGGCTGCATTTGCTTGTTCCGGCGCCACTGGAGTCATTTGCAGCTTGAACAGTCCTTTACCTTCACGGGCACCAATTTTCCACTTGGTCCCTTTCGCTTCTCCATAGCACCCATCCTTCGTGAACGTCACTGGGCCGACATCCTTGGTGAAGCGGCCGACCGAGAACAGGTTTCTGGATAACTTTGGGATGTGCCACACGTTTGTGAGCACACCTTTCTTCATCCCTTGGGGTGTCTTCATCGACATGACAATGTCCCCACTGCCGATTGCTTGGACGATTCCATCATCCGCGAGATGGACATCCACAGCGTCAAACCCCTTGTAGTTCCGCATGAACTTCTTGGAGCACGTCATGTGCTGCGTCGCCCCGGAGTCGACCAGCCAGATGTCGCTCGATTTCGCAGATGTCGTTTCACCGATCGAAAAGAGGTAGTCGCCCGAGTCTTCTTCTTGAGCGACGTTTGCACGTTGTGATCGATAGCGGTCGCCGCTGTCTTGAGCACGCTGTGGCCGGTGTCTCTCCGTGTTTTCTTGGATGCGCGAGGGGCACTCCGCCATCCAGTGACCAATCTTTCCGCAATTGTGGCACGGCCAGGACTTCTTCACTGGTCGCCCTTTGCGCTGATTGTCCCTTGTGATGAACGCTTGACCTTGCGAAGCTTCATCACCTTTACTTCCTTGCTCCTTCCGCTTCATTTCTTCATGAAGCAGTCGAGACGTCACGAGCTCCCAGCTAAGAGTGTCTGAGCGCGACTCCAAAGCTGTGATCAAGAATTGATACGAGTCACTCAGGCTGCCGAGGAGTGTGATCACCAGATCGTCCTCGCAGACTGGAGCCCCCACCGCTTCTAGCTGTTCCGCCAGCGTCTTGAGCTTGTTGATGTGTTCGAGCACATCGTCGCCTTCTTCCATCATTGTCGTGAAGAAGCGACGGCGCAAGAACAGCTTGTTGGCAAGACTCTTCTTCTCGAAGTGGTCTTCCAACCTTGACCATGCGTCGCATGCACCACTTGCCGACCGGACCAACGGTAGCTGGGAATCTTCCATGGCTAGACAGATCACTGCCATCGCCTTTCTTGACTTCCTCTTGTACGTCGCTTGGTCCAACTGAGTCTCGCACTGTTCCGCCTTAATCTCACCGCTGACGACCTCCCATAGGTCCCGTTCCTCCAGCACCATCTGCATCTTGAACTTCCAGGCGTGGAAGTTAGTTCCATCGAACTTGGAGATGCGGAGGGAGGAGGCGTCCATGGCAGCTAAGCTTGAATTGTTGGCGGTTTCAGAGTCTGACGAACTTGGGCTCATAACCTGATGAACTTTAGACTTCTTGGTCCGAGTGCAAAACGCAAAGTGAATATATATTTATAATAGGTACTTAGTTCGCAACTTTGAATACTACCTCTAAGCCTATTATTCGCAGTGACGTCATCCAGTGACGTCACCCACTGACGTCACCCACTGACGTCACCCACTGACGTCACCCACTGACGTCATGCAATGACGTCATCCAGTGACGTCATTTCCTGACTTCGCCCTTACTGGTACATACCGGTACCCACCGGTATAGCGAAGCTTGGTCTTCCACTTGCTTCAACACTTGACGCAGCTTGACGAGGTGTCTTCTTCACAGCCGCTGTCTTTTCAACACTTGGCACCCAAAAACGCGCATGTGCTTGACACTTGGCTTAGAATTGTAGACAATCTCGAACGGTGTCTTGTGTGGAAACTTGGGTGACGGCAAACGGTTCTTCACATAGACGGCCGTCATTGCCGCTTCAGCCCAGAAGCACTTGTGCAACTTGGCATGGTGAAGCATGCTGCGGCCGATCGTGACGATAGTTCGAATCGCGCGTTCAGCAGTTCCATTGGCTTGATGTGCGTATGGCACCGTGGTTTGTTGCTCGATGCCTTCGACTTCGTAGAAATCTTGAAGCGAGTTCGTCGCAAACTCGCAAGCTCGTCGTGGCGCACAAAACTTGACCTTCTTGCTGAACTGCGTCTGCATCATCGTGATGTACTTCTTGATGCACTCTTCGCTCTCTGACTTGGAATGCAGACAAAAACCCTTCATGCATCCGCTGGATTCATCCACGATCAGCAGCAGATACTTGCTGCCACCCAGAGATTTTTCTTCCATGGGTCCGCAGATGTCGAAGTGAAGCATCTCGAAGGTGTTGTAGGTGCGCTTGTCACGGTTGCTCGGGAATGGTTTTTGGACCATCTTCCCTTCTTGGCATCCTCGACACACACTTGATCCATTCGGCTTGGAAGGGATGTGAGCGTCCTTGATCATGTGGCTTGTCACCATCCTGCGAAGCACGTCGACTGGAGCATGGCCCATTCGCGCATGTAGATCAACAGCGTTGCTGAGTGATGTCGCATTGGCCGATCGCTGCGTCGTGCGAAGCCAGTAGAGTCCGTCTACAAGATCCGCAGCTGCCACCACTTGATTGGAATCCTTGCGAGCGACGTACATCGTATCCCCGTCAAACACCACTTGGAAGTTGCCGTGCTTGTTAATCTGCGGCACCGAGAGCAGATTTTTGCTCATGCTGGGCACATAGAGCGCGTTCTTGATCTCGATCTCGCGCTCTTCCCCGTTTGGCAGAATCACCTTTTCCACGATGGTCCCCACACCTTTGATGGCCGCCTTGTTGCCATCAGCCACCAGGATCTCGCCATCATTGCCTTCGGCCAAGCTTGCAAACTTGAACTTGTCGTGGCAGATGTGATGTGTTGCCCCGCTGTCAACGGCCCACATTCCTGGTCCATTCTTGTTCGTCGAAACTCCGCATTCGAACGAAACTGCAAACGCCACTCGATCGTAGCTGTTGCCTTCATCATAATGTCGCCACTGGACATTGTTTGCCCCGCGTCCACGACCATTGCCGCCGCGTTGGGCTCCTCGACTTTCATCCTTTTGCTTCGTCCAGCAACGCTCTGCCGTGGGCCCCACCTTGCCGCAGTATGTGCATTGGTAGGGCTTGCGCTCGGTACTGAATGCCTTTGTCGCATCTTCAGTCTTCACCGTAGTCGTTGCCGTTGTCATCTTCTCGCCTTGTCGCTTGATGTGCTCGTTAGTCAGCACCTTGACCACATCTTGCGTGCGCAGCTCTGCATTACTCATCTCCAAGTTCAGAACCACGTTCTCGAAACTCTTCGGGAGACTGAGCAGCAAGCAGATCGCAATGTCTTCGTCTTCCATCTTGGCACCGATGCTGCTGAGCTTGGCGCCGATGTTCAAGACTTCGTTGCAATGGTGCAAGACGTTGGCACCTTCCGCCATCTTGATGCTGAACAGCTGGCGCTTGAGGTAGATGCGTCCCGCCTTCTGCGACCCACCATAGAGCATCTTCAACCGCGACCACGCTGTCCATGCTTCTTCACAGTTGTCGACCACATGGTGGTAGTCGGCGTCCATGTGGAGCAACATCAACCCGAACGCGATGTTGCTCGCCTTGACGTACTCGTCGGAATCTCGCGTGTCGGTGAAGGTTGGAGACGTTTCGCGGTTCACGACGTACCAGACTGACTTCGTCAGAAACACGCCGCGCATGTAGCGACACCAGGTTGAGTAGTTGTCCCCATCGAACTTATCGATGGAGACACTGGTCGAGGTGTTGTTGGACGACATGGCGCTTGGGCTCATAACCTGTTGTAACTTGAGCGCGAGGCGAAGAGAAAACGAAGCGGAGAGACCGGAGAGAACGAAGCAGAGAACACTTGCTCACTTGAGGGAGGATTCGAAAGTGATTGATTTATAGGTCTTAACTTCTGCCTACCCTAGACTGCATCCAATCACATGGTGCATCTAATCAACCTGATTTACACGCGTCCAATCATCCTACGCGTCTAATCATCTCTGAGGTAATTACCGATGTAAAAACTATCTCGTAAGAACTACGCGCTAGGTTCGGATTGTACCGGTAACCCTCAATAAGCTGTCGCTTCAAGAAGGTCCGTCCCGCCTTCTGAGATCCGCCGTAGAGAGTCTTCAACCGTGCCCACGCAACCCACGCTTCTTCACACTCATCAACCACGTGATGGTAATCCGCGCTCATGTGAGGCAGCATCAAGCCGATCGCAATGTAGTTCGTCTTGACATACTCGTCACTGGCGCAAGGATCAGCGAATGAGGGTGGTCTCCCGGTTGACCACGTACCACGTCGACTTGGTCAGGAACACGCCGCGCATGTAGCGGCTCCACGTCGCATATTTTTTACCATCGAATTTGTCGATGCAGATCTTGGTGGCGGAATCTTGAGCAGAGGACATCGCGCTTAGGCTTATAACCTGATAAAGTCTGAAGAGCACTTGATGAAAGAACCGAAGCTTGAAGAAACGAAAGAAGTCTGCAGTGCAAAGTGTAGACGACTTACGACGGAGAAGGAAATCTTTGGAAGTGAATTTATTTCTGGGTTGTTTAAGCTACCTGATTGATCCGTGTCCTGATTCATGTATTTTGCACATTTAAATCATAAATCATAGAACATGTAGGTCATCCAATCTTCCTATGCGTCTAATCATTGGTAAGCGCTCACCGTAATTACGTGAGACCGACTTGGACAGGTTTACGGTTTACACGGTATCTGATAATAGTACCTTAACCGTCAACCCACGATACGCCCCCTCAATGCGAACACGCGTGTATGCCAAGCGCTGCCGTCAATTCCGTGTGACGCGGTCCTGGCAGTCCCTTTGTCATGATGTCCGCCATCATCATCGCAGTCTCACCGTACTCCAACGTATCATCACCACGCTTGACTTCATCGCGACTGTGGTGGTACTTGGTGTTGACGTGCTTGGCCCGACCATGGTTCACAGGATTCTTCGTCATCTTGATGCACGATTAATTGTCTTCCATGATCTTGAGCTCGGGTCTGGGCTTGTCCTCTGCGGCATTCAGAATCTCGCATAATAGGCGATGCACCCACTTGCCTTCGTTAATTGCCAGACTTAGCGCGACGTACTCTGCTTCGCTTGTCGATAGCGATACACTTGATTGCTTCTTGCTTTTCCAGCTTATCGGAGCACCCATCAGGATAGACGCACATTCTGGAAGTCGACTTGCGGTCTTCATGATCACTGGGCTAGTCTGCATCCGAGTCGCCACATAAATCCACCTTGTTGTCGGGTTTAACGAAGATGCCGTGTGACTTGGTTTCTTGTAGATAACGAAGAATGCGCTTGAATGCCATCGACTTGGGGGTTCCCCATGAAGCGCGAAACGTAGCCCACAACAAAAGCAATGTCCGGTCTTGTCGCGGTCATTAAGTGCATCAAAGCACCTACTGCTTCACGAGACGGAGCGTTGTTCTTGGATGCTGCGTCGCTTGGTTTGAGTCGAGAACTGATATCCGTTGGACTGATGACGGCCTTGCAATCATTCATGCCAAAACGCTTGAGAACATCGTCCACGTATCGTCGCTGACACATTGTCACACTACCGTCGATGTTGTTCACCAGCTCGATGCCCAATACGAACGCGCACTTGCCGCTGTCAGTCATATCGAAACGCCTCTTCAAGTCACTCTTGGTGCGCACAATCACCTCAGTTGAACTGCCCGTTACCAACACATCATCGACGAGACCAAAAACAGCACGCACTTTCCGCTTGCGACCTTGAGATAGAGGCATGGGTCGAAGTTGGACTGTTGAAATACAATCGAGCAAACAAAGTCATAGAAAGTCTCGTTCCATACCCGCAATGCTTGTTTCAGTCCGTAGATCGCCTTCGCCAATTCGATGCAGTCAAAGTCTTCATCAATGTCGACACCTGCTGGGATCGCGCAGAACACCTTTTTTTCATCTTTCCGTACAAGAAGGCTTTCACCATGTCCAGTTAGTCCAGTGACCATTTGAAGTACTTGGTGCTCGCGATTACTATGCACAGCATCACGTACTTGACCACGGGCGAGAACGTCTCCGTGTAGTCGATGTCATAATTTTGGCGAAAACCCTTGGCCGCAAGTCGTGCTTTGTATTTATCGATCGACCCATCCGCCTTGCGCTTGATCTTGAAGACTCACTTTGTGCCAATGGCGCTTCACCCGCTGGGTAACTTGGCCGCACGAAACACACGCGAAGTCGCATTGACTCGAGCTCTGCATTAATTGCCTTGCGCTAGTGCGCTTGGTCCGGGCCAGTCACTACTTCTCTAAATATCGACGGGCTCAAAGATGCACTGCTGCTTTGACAGCGTTTGCACTTACCTGTTGAAATGCGAAAGAAGTTGGTGTGTCACGTTGCTCGACTGACTTCCTTCATCTTTATTGGCTCGACGTGAAGAGAGGTCATCTGAAGCACTTGCCCCTTCCAATCTGGGTCGTTGGCGCACTGCTCGGGGCATATTTGTATCTTCATCTTGTGACTGAGTTAGGCCTTGCGCATTCCTATTCATTTTGAAGTATCTAGAAAGCAGATCTTTATCATCAAGATCAAAGGATTCGACGTCCTGTCCACCAACACCGTCATCGGAAACCAGCATAGAAAGTCCAAAGGCTGACTCTTCAAAGTTGACATCACGACTTATCGTCTCCTGCCCCACTTCAATGTCATAAACTCGGTAAGCCTTGGACATTTCTTCGTAGCCAAAATTAACCCAGTACGTGCCTTGGGATTCCGCTTGAGTTGTTTCTCCTTCGGGGTCAAGATGTAAGTGTGGCACCCAAAACCGCGCATGTGCTTGACACTTGGCTTGGAATTGTAGACAATCTCGAACGGCGTCTTGTGTGGGATCTTGGGTGACGGCAAATGGTTCTTCACGTAGACTGCCGTCATTGCCGCTTCAGCCCAGAAGCGCTTGTCCATTTTGACATGATGAAGCATGCTGCGACCGATGGTGATGACAGTCCGAGTTGCGCGTTCAGCAGTTCCGTTGGCTTGATCAGCGGATGACACCGTGGTTTGCTGTTCGATGCCTTCGACTTCGTAGAAATCTTGAAGCGAGCTTGTCGCAAACTCGCGGGATCTATCGTGTCACACAAACTTGACCTTTATGCTAATCTGCTTTTGGACAATCGTGATGTACCTCTTGATTCACTCCTCACTCTCCGACTTGGCATGCAGACAAAAATCCTCTATGCACCCGCTGGTTTCATCCGCGACAAGCAGCAGATACTTGCTGTCCCTTAAAGATTTGTCTTCCATGGGTCCTCAGGTGTCGAAGTGGAGCATCTCGAAGGTATTGAAGGTGCGCTTGTCACGGTTTCTCGAGAATGGTTTTGAACCATCTTCCCTCCTGACATCCTCGACACACACTCGGTTTGAAAGGGATGTAAGCGTCTTTAATCATGTTGCTTGTCACCATCTTGCGAAGTACGTCGACTGGAGCATGGCCCATTCGCGCATGAATATCTTCAAATTTCAGCCGCGAAGTAGCATTCACAGATCGTTGTGGTGTGCAAATCCAGTAGGGTCCATTCATAATATCCGCCATCTCCATGTTGCAACTTGAGCGCGAGGCGAAGAGAAAACGAAGCGGAGAGACCGGAGAGAACGAAGCAGAGAACACTTGCTCACTTGAGGGAGGATTCGAAGGTGATTGATTTATAGGTCTTAACTTCTGCCTACCCTAGACTGCATCCAATCACATGGTGCATCTGATCAACCTGATTTACACGCGTCCAATCATCCTACGCGTCTAATCATCTCTGAGGTAATTACCGATGTAAAAACTATCTCGTAAGAACAACGCGCTAGGTTCGGATTGTACCGGTAACCCTCAATACGCCCCCTCAATCCGAACACGCACGGATGCCAAGCGCCGCCGTCAAGTCCTTGTGACGCGGTCCGTGAAGTCCCTTCGTCATGATGTCCGCCAACATCAACGTCGTCTCGCAGTATTCAAGCTTCACTTCGCCGCGCTTGACTTCATCACGGATGTGATGGTACTTGATGTCGATGTGTTTAGCGCGGCCGTGGTTGACCGGATTCTTCGTCATCTTGATGCACGACTGGTTGTCTTCACGGATGACAAGCTCGGGTCCTTCTTCGTTTGCAGCCGCCATGATCTCGCACAGCAAGCGATTGATCCACTTGCCTTCTTGGATCGCCAGGCTGAGCGCGATGTACTCCGCTTCGCTTGTAGACAGTGACACACTTGGCTGTTTCTTGCTGCCCCAACTCACCGGAGCACCCAATAGCATGAAGACGTAGCCGGACGTCGATTTGCGATCAGCAAGGTCACCGGCCCAGTCTGCATCTGAATAGCACGAAAGTCGATCTTCGCACTTGGCTTGTAGCAGATTCCATGCATCTTGGTGCCTTGTAGGTATCGGAAGATGCGCTTGACTGCAACCCAGTGTTCTTCTTGGGGTTTCTCCATGAACCGTGACACAAAGCTTACAGCATAGGCGATGTCCGGTCGCGTTGCAGTCGTCAGATGCATCAAAGCACCCACTGCTTCACGGAATGGGACATCCACCTTGCTTGCAGAGTTGCTCGGAATCAGTCGAGAGCTGACGTCCACCGGACTTGCCACAGCCTTGCACTCATCCATTCCAAAGCGCTTGAGGACATCGTCGACATAACGGCGCTGACACATAGTCACGCTGCCATCTTCACCGTCCAATAACTCGATCCCAAGAACAAAGGCACACTTGCCGCTGTCCGTCATCTCGAAGCGTGTCTTGAGGTCGTTCTTGGTGCGCGCAATCATCTCGAGCGAACTTCCAGTCACCAAGACATCGTCCACGTAGACCAGCACAAAAACACAATGGCCTTCCGAAGTCATGATGTAGAGACATGGATCGAATCCCGACGCTTGAAAACCAATTGAGCGTATGAACTCGTCGAAGGTCTCGTTCCAAACACGCGAGGCTTGCTTGAGACCGTAGATCGCCTTGATCAGCTCGAGACAGTCGAAATCACCTTCCATCTTGACGCCTTCCGGAACAGCGCAGAACACCTTCTCCTTCATCACTCCATACAGGAACGCAGTCACCACATCGAGCTGGTCGAGGGGCCATCCAAAGTGCTTGGTAATGGCGATGACCATTCGCAGCGTCACATACTTGACCACGGGCGAGAACGTCTCCGTGTAGTCGATGCCATACTTTTGGCGAAAACCCTTGGCCACAAGTCGTGCCTTGTATTTCTCGATCGACCCATCCGCCTTGCGCTTGATCTTGAAGACCCACTTTGTGCCGATGGCGCTTTGTCCGTTGGGTAACTTGGCCGCACGAAAGACACCGCGAAGCTTCATCGAATCGAGCTCCGCATCAATTGCCTTGCGCCAGTGTACTTGGTCCGGGCCAGACACTGCTTCTTCAAATGTCGACGGCTCCGAAAAATCGACCGCTGCTTCGACGGCGTTTGCACTCGCATGCCAAAACGCGGAGGAAGTCGGTGTGTCATGTTGTTCCTCCGACTTCCTTTCTTCATCTTCGTTGGCTCGACGTGAAGAGAGGTCATCCGGCGCACTTGACTCTTCCAATCCGGGTCGTTGGCGCACTGCTCGGGGCATGCTTGTGTCGTCATTGTCGTGACTGGGTTGGGCCTTGCGCTTTCCTGTTTGTTTGAAGTGTCTCGGACGCGGTTCTTCATCATCAAGATCGATCGATTCGAAGTCCAGGCCATCAACATCGTCATCGGAAATCAGCATCGACAGTCCAAAGGCCGACTCATCGAAGTTGACATCGCGACTTATCATCACCTGCCCCGCTTCGATGTCGTAAACTCGATACGCCTTGGACACTTCTTCGTAGCCCAAAAACAATCCAGCCCGGGCCTTGGGATCCCACTTGAGTCGTTTCTCCTTCGGGGTCAAGATGTATGCTTGGCACCCAAAAACGCGCATGTGCTTGACACTTGGCTTAGAATTGTAGACAATCTCGAACGGTGTCTTGTGTGGAATCTTGGGTGACGGCAAACGGTTCTTCACATAGACGGCCGTCATTGCCGCTTCAGCCCAGAAGCACTTGTCCAACTTGGCATGATGGAGCATGCTACGACCGATGGTGACGATAGTTCGAATCGCGCGTTCAGCAGTTCCATTTGATGAACTTTAGACTTCTTGGTCCGAGTGCAAAACGCAAAGTGAATATATATTTATAATAGGTACTTAGTTCGCAACTTTGAATACTACCTCTAAGCCTATTATTCGCAGTGACGTCATCCAGTGACGTCACCCACTGACGTCACCCACTGACGTCATGCAATGACGTCATCCAGTGACGTCATTTCCTGACTTCGCCCTTACTGGTACATACCGGTACCCACCGGTATAGCGAAGCTTGGTCTTCCACTTGCTTCAACACTTGACGCAGCTTGACGAGGTGTCTTCTTCACAGCCGCTGTCTTTTCAACACTCCCTCTCGACTCGTTAGCTGCGGCACCTTGGATCCCAAGTCGATCGCGAATGTTTTCAAATTGTACAGCGGCGATCGGCTTGGTCATCATGTCTGCCAGCATATCTTGAGTCGGGCAATACTCCAAAACGACTTCACCTGATTCCACCTTCTCACGCACAAAATGGTAGCGTATGTCGATGTGTTTTGTTCTCTTATGGAACTCCGGGTTCTTGGCGAGAGCGATTGATCCTTGGTTGTCTTCATACATCTTGATCGCTTCGCCGCTTGTCATCTCACCAAGTTCCCCCAAAAGCACTTTGAGCCATACTGCTTCTTTGGTTGCTTCGGAAAGCGCCATGTATTCTGCTTCTGTTGAAGATAGCGCGACCGTCCGTTGTTTCTGGCTTTTCCAGCTGATGCATCCTCCGCTCATCATGAACACATAGCCGCTTGTACTTCGTCTTGACTCAATGTCGCCGGCCCAGTCTGCGTCGGTGTACCCGCATATACGGCTTCCTTCTTCACGTGTAAACTCAAGACCATGATTGGGCGTTGCTTGCAGGTATCTCAGCACACGCTTTGTTGAAAAGACAGCGGCTGTGAAGAAGACACCTCGTCAAGCTGCGTCAAGTGTTGAAGCAAGTGGAAGACCAAGCTTCGCTATACCGGTGGGTACCGGTATGTACCAGTAAGGGCGAAGTCAGGAAATGACGTCACTGGATGACGTCATTGCATGACGTCAGTGGGTGACGTCAGTGGGTGACGTCACTGGATGACGTCACTGCGAATAATAGGCTTAGAGGTAGTATTCAAAGTTGCGAACTAAGTACCTATTATAAATATATATTCACTTTGCGTTTTGCACTCGGACCAAGAAGTCTAAAGTTCATCAGGTTATGAGCCCAAGTTCGTCAGACTCTGAAACCGCCAACAATTCAAGCTTAGCTGCCATGGACGCCTCCTCCCTCCGCATCTCCAAGTTCGATGGAACTAACTTCCACGCCTGGAAGTTCAAGATGCAGATGGTGCTGGAGGAACGGGACCTATGGGAGGTCGTCAGCGGTGAGATCAAGGCGGAACAGTGCGAGACTCAGTTGGACCAAGCGACGTACAAGAGGAAGTCAAGAAAGGCGATGGCAGTGATCTGTCTAGCCATGGAAGATTCCCAGCTACCGTTGGTCCGGTCGGCAAGTGGTGCATGCGACGCATGGTCAAGGTTGGAAGACCACTTCGAGAAGAAGAGTCTTGCCAACAAGCTGTTCTTGCGCCGTCGCTTCTTCACGACAATGATGGAAGAAGGCGACGATGTGCTCGAACACATCAACAAGCTCAAGACGCTGGCGGAACAGCTAGAAGCGGTGGGGGCTCCAGTCTGCGAGGACGATCTGGTGATCACACTCCTCGGCAGCCTGAGTGACTCGTATCAATTCTGATCACAGCTTTGGAGTCGCGCTCAGACACTCTTAGCTGGGAGCTCGTGACGTCTCGACTGCTTCATGAAGAAATGAAGCGGAAGGAGCAAGGAAGTAAAGGTGATGAAGCTTCGCAAGGTCAAGCGTTCATCACAAGGGACAATCAGCGCAAAGGGCGACCAGTGAAGAAGTCCTGGCCGTGCCACAATTGCGGAAAGATTGGTCACTGGATGGCGGAGTGCCCCTCGCGCATCCAAGAAAACACGGAGAGACACCGGCCACAGCGTGCTCAAGACAGCGGCGACCGCTATCGATCACAACGTGCAAACGTCGCTCAAGAAGAAGACTCGGGCGACTACCTCTTTTCGATCGGTGAAACGACATCTGCGAAATCGAGCGACATCTGGCTGGTCGACTCCGGGGCGACGCAGCACATGACGTGCTCCAAGAAGTTCATGCGGAACTACAAGGGATTTGACGCTGTGGATGTCCATCTCGCGGATGATGGAATCGTCCAAGCAATCGGCAGTGGGGACATTGTCATGTCGATGAAGACACCCCAAGGGATGAAGAAAGGTGTGCTCACAAACGTGTGGCACATCCCAAAGTTATCCAGAAACCTGTTCTCGGTCGGCCGCTTCACCAAGGATGTCGGCCCAGTGACGTTCACGAAGGATGGGTGCTATGGAAAAGCGAAAGGGACCAAGTGGAAAATTGGTGCCCGTGAAGGTAAAGGACTGTTCAAGCTGCAAATGACTCCAGTGGCGCCGGAACAAGCAAATGCAGCCAAGTCGTCGGGATGCCAAGGGGGCACCAAGTCGTACCTCTGGCACCTTCGGCTTGGCCACATAGGTCACGATGGACTCAATTGCATCGTGACGAAGAACATTGGAATTGGCATCGACATATCTTCGGTGAAGAAGTGGGACGTGTGTGAAGGTTGTGCTCTGGGAAAACAGACTCGAGTGCGCTTCCAATCAAACACTACAGCTCGCACCTCCAAACTCCTCGAAGTGATTCACAGCGACGTATGCGGACCGATGTCGATGGCAACTTTCAGTGGAAAACGGTACTTCGTGACATTCATTGATGACAAGTCAAGATACTGTGTCGTCTATCTGCTCAAGAGCAAATCTGAAGTTGCGGCGAAGTTCATGGAATACGCTGCGATGGCCGAAACGCAAACCGGAAAGCGCGTGAAGTACCTTCAAAGCTACAATGGGGGTGAATACAAGTCCGACAAGCTGGCACGATTCTGCGCGGAACGGGGAATACAACAAAGGTTCACACCCCCATATACTCCTCAGCTAAACGGAGTAGCTGAGAGAATGAATCGCACGCTGGTCGAGTGTGCGCGTTGCATGATGGAACACGCTGGACTGGGAAAGAGCTACTGGGGTGAAGCAGTGATGACGGCGATGTTTCTTCGAAACCGCTGTCCAACACGTGCCATTCACCAAGACAAGTCTCCATATCAAGTGTGGACGATGAAGAAACCGATTCTGGCCAACCTTAAAGTGTTTGGATGCCACGCGTATGTTCAAGTGCCTCAAGACAAACGCGCGAAGTTCGACTCCAAGTCATCACTCTGTCGTTTCCTGGGATACGCCGAACACCAGAAGTCATATCGATTTGAGGAAGTGTCAACAGGAGCGATCAAGATCAGTCGCGATGCCACATTCATGGAAGACAAGTTTGATGAAGGTCCGCGCAACTACAACGATGAGTCAAGTGTCGTTGAGTTTGATGATCATGATGAGGACGAAGAAAAAGAAGAAGGTAAAACTGACGACGACATGGACTCGAGCGACGATGACAACGAAGACACCAGGTCTTCGAAGAGCAACATCAAGAGACACACGCGCACTCAATCACTTGAGAAAGCTACCATCATTCCAAGTCCCAAGCGAAGAACATACAGAGGTCCGTCGCTTGAGCATGTGTCAGCGGCTGCAATGGATTTTGAAGCAGCCTACATCGTTGATTCAGTGGGGAAACGCCGACTACATTCAAGTCGGCGATGGAATCAAGCGACTCCGGCAAGTGGAAAGAAGCGTGTGACTCGGAGTTCGATTCGCTTCAGAGAAACGACACGTGGGAAATCGTGCCTCTTCCGAAAGGTCGCAAGGCCATCGGGTGCCGATGGGTTTTTCGTGTAAAGGAGAATCAAGATGGCGAAGTTGAACGTTTCAAGGCAAGACTTGTGGCCAAAGGATTCTCACAGAAATTCGGAGTTGACTATGAAGAAACTTTCGCACCGGTGGCCAAGTTCACATCGATTCGTGTGGTGCTCAGTATGGCGGCTAAGTACGGCCTAATGCTACATCAGATGGACGTCAAGACAGCGTTTCTTAACGGCTCCTCAACGAAGACATCTACATGGACCAGCCGGACGGATACCTGGATGCAACACAGCCGGACTATGTGTGCAAGCTAAAGAGATCACTCTACGGCTTGAAGCAATCGCCTCGCATGTGGAACCAAACAATCGATGGGTTCATGATCAAGATGGGATTCAAGAAGTGCGAATCGGACCACTGCATCTACATCAAGCGAGACGACCAAGACATGATTCTCGTGGTGCTCTACGTCGATGATCTCATCCTGGCCAGCAGCAACAACGAAATCCTCAAGCCAACCAAGATGGCGCTGAGCAAACGCTTCGAAATGACGGATCTCGGTGAGCTCGATTACTTTCTCGGCATGGAGATCAAGAACGACCGTAAGACGGGAATGGTGACTGTACAACAAACCAAGTTTCTCAAGTCCGTGTTAACCAAGTTCGGAATGGATAACAGCAAGCCAGTGAAGACGCCTCAAGATCCCGGCCTGAAGCTAACCAAGAACATGTGTGAACAAGAATGCAAGCACGAAGACACCATGTGCAACGTGCCATATCGAAGTGCTGTCGGAGGCATCATGTATCTCATGGTCGCCACACGTCCGGATCTAGCTGCTGCAGTGGGATCATTATCCCAGTTCTCGTCCGACCCATGCCCGACTCACTGGCAAGCTTTGAAGCGTGTGCTGAGATACCTGCAAGCAACGCCCAATCATGGTCTTGAGTTTACACGTGAAGAAGGAAGCCGTATCTGCGGGTACACCGACGCAGACTGGGCCGGCGACATTGAGTCAAGACGAAGTACAAGCGGCTATGTGTTCATGATGAGCGGAGGATGCATCAGCTGGAAAAGCCAGAAACAACGGACGGTCGCGCTATCTTCAACAGAAGCAGAATACATGGCGCTTTCCGAAGCAACCAAAGAAGCAGTATGGCTCAAAGTGCTTTTGGGGGAACTTGGTGAGATGACAAGCGACGAAGCGATCAAGATGTATGAAGACAACCAAGGATCAATCGCTCTCGCCAAGAACCCGGAGTTCCATAAGAGAACAAAAACACATCGACATACGCTACCATTTTGTGCGTGAGAAGGTGGAATCAGGTGAAGTCGTTTTGGAGTATTGCCCGACTCAAGATATGCTGGCAGACATGATGACCAAGCCGATCGCCGCTGTACAATTTGAAAACATTCGCGATCGACTTGGGATCCAAGGTGCCGCAGCTAACGAGTCGAGAGGGAGTGTTGAAAAGACAGCGGCTGTGAAGAAGACACCTCGTCAAGCTGCGTCAAGTGTTGAAGCAAGTGGAAGACCAAGCTTCGCTATACCGGTGGGTACCGGTATGTACCAGTAAGGGCGAAGTCAGGAAATGACGTCACTGGATGACGTCATTGCATGACGTCAGTGGGTGACGTCAGTGGGTGACGTCACTGGATGACGTCACTGCGAATAATAGGCTTAGAGGTAGTATTCAAAGTTGCGAACTAAGTACCTATTATAAATATATATTCACTTTGCGTTTTGCACTCGGACCAAGAAGTCTAAAGTTCATCACGCTTCAAAGCTTGCCAGTGAGTCGGGCATGGGTCGGACGAGAACTGGGATAATGATCCCACTGCAGCAGCTAGATCCGGACGTGTGGCGACCATGAGATACATGATGCCTCCGACAGCACTTCGATATGGCACGTTGCACATGGTGTCTTCGTGCTTGCATTCTTGTTCACACATGTTCTTGGTTAGCTTCAGGCCGGGATCTTGAGGCGTCTTCACTGGCTTGCTGTTATCCATTCCGAACTTGGTTAACACGGACTTGAGAAACTTGGTTTGTTGTACAGTCACCATTCCCGTCTTACGGTCGTTCTTGATCTCCATGCCGAGAAAGTAATCGAGCTCACCGAGATCCGTCATTTCGAAGCGTTTGCTCAGCGCCATCTTGGTTGACTTGAGGAGTTCGTTGTTGCTGCTGGCCAGGATGAGATCATCGACGTAGAGCACCACGAGAATCATGTCTTGGTCGTCTCGCTTGATGTAGATGCAGTGGTCCGATTCGCACTTCTTGAATCCCATCTTGATCATGAACCCATCGATTGTTTGGTTCCACATGCGAGGCGATTGCTTCAAGCCGTAGAGTGATCTCTTTAGCTTGCACACATAGTCCGGCTGTGTTGCATCCAGGTATCCGTCCGGCTGGTCCATGTAGATGTCTTCGTTGAGGGAGCCGTTAAGAAACGCTGTCTTGACGTCCATCTGATGTAGCATTAGGGCCGTACTTAGCCGCCATACTGAGCACCACACGAATCGATGTGAACTTGGCCACCGGTGCGAAAGTTTCTTCATAGTCAACTCCGAATTTCTGTGAGAATCCTTTGGCCACAAGTCTTGCCTTGAAACGTTCAACTTCGCCATCTTGATTCTCCTTACACGAAAAACCCATCGGCACCCGATGGCCTTGCGGACCTTTCGGAAGAGGCACGATTTCCCACGTGTCGTTTCTCTGAAGCGAATCGAACTCCGAGTCACACGCTTCTTTCCACTTGCCGGAGTCGTTGATTCCATCGCCGACTTGAATGTAGTCGGCGTTTCCACTGAATCAACGATGTAGGCTGCTTCAAAATCCATTGCAGCCGCTGATACATGCTCAAGCTGACGGACCTCTGTATGTTCTTCGCTTGGGACTTGAATGACGGTAGCTTTCTCAAGTGATTGAGTGCGCGTGTGTCTCTTGATGTTGCTCTTCGAAGACCTGGTGTCTTCGTTGTCATCGTCGCCGAGTCCATGTCGTCGTCAGTTTTACCTTCTTCTTTTTCTTCGTCCTCATCATGATCATCAAACTCAACGACACTTGACTCATCGTTGTAGTTGTGCGGACCTTCATCAAACTTGTCTTCCATGAATGTGGCATCGCGACTGATCTTGATCGCTCCTGTTGACACTTCCTCAAATCGATATGACTTCTGGTGTTCGGCGTATCCCAGGAAACGACAGAG